TTTGACTACAAAAACCCTACTTTTCTAGGTTTGGTGTTAGAATGTGATGTGGGCTATGAAATACAGAAAAGGCCCTGATTCCCCAAATACAAATGGAGAGCTTGGACAAGACAACATGTAGTGTCCTTCCAACTCTCATGTTTTGCAGCTCTCTGTCCAAGTGACCTTTACATTTCCTTCCAGTTTAAGCCCACATGTTCTATAATTTGTACAGTATTTATGGGAAGCAACTTCTTTTTAATCTCCTTGTATTTATGTCCAGCATCCATTATGACACCAATCACATTTAATCACTTGTTGAATAAATGAATGAACAAATTAGTATCTTTGTGAAGGTCATTTGTTGTAGAAGTCTCCCAGTATATTAGCAGAGTCTAAAAACCAAGAATACATAAATATTAGTTGTAGTTGTCCATCGTCAGTTTAATGTAATTGGTGTCATAATGGATGCTGGACATAAATACAAGGAGATTAAATTTTGTCATCCAAAATTCACATGTTTAATTCGTAACCCCAACACCTCTGAATGTGACTCTATTTGGAGATAGGGTCTTTGGAGATAGAGTCATAAGCACACAGTGGCAAGTTCACTAATTGTCAGACCTTGTAAATTCATAGTTTTTGCTACATAAATAACATGCAAACACATCTAAATAAACATAGATACATATATTTTCCACTTCTGTACTAGTTTCCTATTGCCACTGTAACAAATTAGTGCAAAGTAATTTCAAACAACACAAATTTGTTCTGGAGGTCAGAAGTCTAAAATCAAGGTGTTTGGCAGTGCCTTCTGCAGACTTCAGAGAAGAATCTGTTCCCTCATCTTTTCCAGCTTCTAGAGGTCACCTGTATTCCTTGGCTTGTGGCCCTCTTTCTCCATCTTCAAAGTGAGCACTATAGCATCTCCTTTCTAACCTCTTCCCATCTGCTTACAAGGATACCATGCCTACACCAGGCCCACCAAATAAGCCAGGATAACTCTGCGACTTCAAGATCCTTAAGCCTCATCTGCAAAGTTCCTTTTGAATGTACGGTAATATGTTCACATGTCTCAGGGTTAGGAGATAGGGAACCATTTTTTCTATGTATCACAATGTGTGTACACATACACATACCTGTATATACATATACATATATACATGCATACATACTTTCCCTAGTTGTTACTCTTCTAGGCTGAGAGGGACTAGAAGCAATGATGCCCAATAAAGGAACCTGAGTTCCTCAAAGAAATGGTTGATTCCAGGACTGGGGCAGGGAAAGCATAAGGTTAACCTAGAATATCTTTTTATGTCAGAAAATGAGAAAAGGTTCTAGCAATGATGGGGCATGTTAGAAGGACATGGAATCTTGGAAGGTCCGCCAGTGATCAAATCTGGTACAATTTGAACACCAAAATAAACAGCATTAATAATAAATCATAACTCATAGAATAAAATAAGAATCCATGAGTTTATAAATAAAATAAATGAATAAGTAAGGAAATGAATAAATGGGGGAGAGGAAAAGCTCTTTCTTACAGCAGAATGACTAAAGTGTAGGAAGAAAATGAAATTAGAAACTCATCATAAAAATAATAAGTATTTCAGTCAGGAATTGTCAAGAGGTGTTAAAACTCCTAGATAAAAGTTTAATGAGACATAGAATATCTCTATAGTGTCAAAGCATGCCCCACAAGATACTTATTAATTTCAAAGGAAGGCAGGATATGGTGGCTCATATCTATAATCCCAGAACTTTGGGAGGCTAAGGTAGGAAGATCATTTGGGACTAGGAACTTGAGATCAGCCTGAGCAACATAGTAAGACCCAGCTCTACAAAAAATGTAAATTAATGAGGCATGGTGGCACACGCCTATGGTGTCAGCTATTCAGAAGGCTGAGGCAAGGAGCTCAATGGAGGTCAGGAGTTTGAGGTTGTAGTGAGCTATGATGATACCACTGTACTTTAACCTGTGAGACAGAGCAAGACCTTGTCACAAACAACAACAACAAAAACTCAAAGGGAAATAAAAGTAACTTTATAGTGAAGGAACCTGGTAGACCCTGGTAGACACTACCTTAACCAAACAATCACGGTTAACATCAGCAATAAAGAGACCTATTAGCATATGTCTTCTGATATGACACAGCATGGCTTCACTGGTATCCCTGCCAAAACTGCATAACCTGCAAACTCTGTGAGACTCTGTAAAATTACTGGCCTGAAATCTTCAAAAAAATTTATATCATAAAAGGCAAAAAGTAAGCTTTCCAGATTTAAAGAGATTAAAGAGCATGACAACTAAATGCACTGCACCCTGCAGTTTAAAGTCTTTTTTTCTCCTCTTCCTTTTGCTGTAAAGAACGTTGGTGGGCAATGGGGAGAATTTAAACAAGATCTGTAAAATAGATAGCAGTATTGATGCTGACTTTCTGATTTTGGTTATTGTATTGTGATTATGGTAAGTATTGTCTCCTTTAGGGGAAACATACTGGAATATTTAGGAATAAAAGAACATCACATCTGCAATTTACTCTCAATGGTTTAGAAAAAATGAATTATGTTTATACACAGAGAACAATAAAGCAAATGTAGTAAAGTGTTAATCTAGGTGAAAGGTATATGGTGATTCTTTATTATTTTTGCTACTTCTAAGTCAGAAGGACTAAGTAAAATAGTGGATTATAGAGAAGAAAGAAAGTCTTCCATTCTTGAGTGTCAGCCAGCAGCTGCCCCTGGGCCTGTCTCTGCCTGCCCCTCACTCTGCTCACAACCACTGAGGTGCTATCAGCACTGATCTTTGACTATATGGTTTCTGTTTCCTCCCCTGTTTCCTTAGAGACATAATTTTCTTGACTCTCATAGACTTAAAGTCAGTTATATGTACCTTTTTAAGATAGTAATGCTATGGACTAAATTGTATCCCACCTCAAAATTCTTATGCTAAAGTCCTAACTCCTATTAACTTCAGAATGTGACCTTATTTGAAGACAGGATCTTTACAAAGATAATCAAGTTAAAATGAGTCATTAGGATATATCCTAACCCAATACAACTGGGGTCCTTACAAAAAGGGGAAATTGAAAAAAGCAAAAATTAGTCCATTTTGACAACACTTGTTCCTTGTATGAACTGGGCAGCATAGCATAGCATAAATACGGGCTACAACTCTTATTTTTCTGTTTTAAGTTTTTGTTTCCCTGCATAATTAAGGTATTATATTAATGACATGACCACTAGGACAGTTTAAACATACATTCCGTACTTTTTGACATCAATGGCCAGCCATGTGTGAGCCTGAGGGAACAGGCTGTAATCAGGTAATAGTCTGAGAATGAAGGGTCCCAGTGGTTGCTAGGTTAAAGAATGACAGAATGGGTCCTGTACATGATCGGTGGACAAGGTGGACGCTGCCAAAGAGTTTTAAAGAATATATGTAAGTGTGTAGGGAGTTTTAGTACGTGGTACATTGTTTCAACCACACCCCTCCATGCTGGCAATGTTTTCTGTCTTTCAATAAACTCTTCCTCTGCTATTTATTATTTGAGTCGTTGAGATCAAGGACTCACAAGTAAACTACCAGATGCCTGTGTTTCACCAACTCCCTGGTAGACTATTTCGCCTGTACCGCATTCCTGTAAACACAGGTGGCTCCGGGTAGGGCTCTCCCGGGGACCCCTCACAGCCTCCAGAGCCAAGAAACGCCTGCTTCAAGGACGACCCTAGCCCTGACCTGCACCGCAGGTGAGCTCAAGGGCAGCGCACGACTAAGACGCCCCCTGGAAGCAGCTATCTGCCCAGCCGGCACTGGCACGCTTTCCCTGTAGTGCAAGGAGACTAGCAGACACCTTTTTGGGAAGACCTGTCCTCCAATGCAATGCACTCATCAATAGGGTGACCAGATTTTAACATGGGTAAGGCGGGACAACATGGGGCGGGGGGGCGGGAGCGAGGCAGGGGAGGGCCTGACAACAATGCAAACTTAGATAAGCAGTTCTCAATAATCACTTCTCAGCAATTATTTGTTATTATTACAGTTTAACATTATAAAAAAAAAATTTTTTTTTTTTTTGAGACAGAGCCTCAAGCTGTCCCCCTGGGCAGAGTGCCATGGCATTACAGCTCACAGCAACCTCCAACTCCTGGGCTCAAGCGAGTCTCCTGCCTCAGCCTCCCAAGTAGCTGGGACTACAGGTGCCCGCCACAACGCCTGGCCATTTTTTGGTTGCAGCCATCATTGTTGTTTGGCAGGCGGGCTGGGGATTTAAACCCGCCACCTTAGGTATATGTGGCTGGCGCCTTAGCCGCTTGAGCCACAGGCGCCGAGCCTAACATTATAAAATTAACAAAAATAATATAAAACTCACATTCTGGCAAAATAGCCACATGGCAGCTGAAAACCATATATTCCCTTCTTGTTCTCCCGCCCGTTTGTGCATTCTTTCCAAAAATCAGGACTTTTTTAAAACGCCACAAGACGCGGGACAAATTGTTCAAAAGCGGGACGTCTGGTCACCCTACTCATCAACCTCCCAAGATTTTACATTTGTCAGTGGCACTCGTAACTCAGTGCGTAGGGCGCCAGCCACATACACCGACGCTGCCGGGTTCAAACCCGACCGGGTCAGCTTTTAAAAAAAGAAAACAATGACAACTGCAACAACAACAAAGAAATATCTACAAAGCCGGGCGTTGTAGTGGGCACCTACAGTCCCAGCTACTTGGGAAGCTGAGGCAAGAGTTGGAGGTTGCTGTGAGCTGTGACGCCACAGCACTCTACCAAGGGTGACATAGTGAGACTGTCTCAAATAAATAAAAAGATTTTACAGATGTGAAAACGGCCCTTCGACTCAGGACCGTGGAGCACCGATACGCTCCGGCCCTGGGGCCGCAGGGCACCGACACCAAGCCGACCCCTACAACACTCCGGACCCGGGCGCTGGAGGAAAAGGGTAGGAGGGGCGCGTGCCGGAGCCTCCACCCGGACACAGAGGCGGAAGCGGAAACGTGGCCAGGCTGTAGCCATGGAGACGCGGGGGGCGGGGCCGCCCAGGAGAACGCGACCTTTGACCTGCAGCAGAGGCTGCGTCAGAGGCGGTGCAGACAGCGGTGCTACGGCTGCGGCGGCCGGGCTCCGGGGTGCCGGGCCGCACCGGGTGGGCGGCGATGGAGGTAAGGAGGGCGGGCGTCTGGACTGAAGCTGGGGCTAGGGCTGGACCCACGACCCCCCGCCAACTCTCGCGCCGTGATGCGGGACGTGGGACTGGGCCTCGTGGGAGAGCGCAGCACCTTCCCCCTCAGCGCTCGGCTGCTGTCGCCTCCCGACCTTCCCCACACTCTGTCCCGCGCGATCGCTTTAGAGGCCACTGGATACGATCTTCCACAGCGACAGCCACTGGTCTCCCTGATCCTCCTCCTCACTTAGAAAGCTTTCTTCCATTTGATTCCACAGAGGTTTTTCCCTGTAAGGTTCCACCCGTTCTGTCTGGAGTTAGGAAGAGAGTTCTTCTGACGCCTGGGTTTGATTTGGTTTTGCAGGATCCTGTTCAAGATGGGGTGGCTTCACCATCCACCCCTGGGACCGGGAAATCTAAGGTGAAGAGGATATTTGACTAGCAGACTCTCTGAAGAGTGGAAGGGTGATGAATTGGAAAACTTTGGCATGGGGCGAGGGGTGGCCCATTTTTAAAAACGTAGCCCTGCTTCAAGGGGTCTCAGTTTTAATTTGCACAGTCACCCATCTATTTCTTTCTCTCTATTCTTTTCTTGTCTTTTTCTTTCTTTCAAGTTTCCTGGTATGGAAAAGAATTGACTTTTTGTTTACTTCCTGCTCCTGATTGGCACTGCTGAGAGATCCTGTAATTTTTCAAATATTAAACAACAAAACCTCATTTATCAAGTTTTATATAGTGGTGTAGTGGAAAGAGCAGTGACATGGGGTAGAAATCAAGGGACCGTTCTGTAGGCTTCATTTCCTGAGTATGACAGAAAGCCCAGTTAGCCAATTTTTATGGCCCTGTACAATGTTTAACATTTAATGATTCTGAAAGATGGTGGCTTATTGCTAAGGTTTATTATTTGAGTTTCAGCATTTACCTAAGCACTAAGTTACTTCATGTAAGCTTCATGATACCTGTGAGATACTCTTATTACCCTCATTTTACAGATGAGAAAACTGAGACTACAGGTGTTAAGTAATTTTCCCAAGTAGTAAACCTGAATTTTTTAGTTAAATCCTAAACATTACCTGGTTCATCTTGCTACTGTGATGATGCTTAAATTTTTATGTGACTTTTAGCCTTGAGTAGAATGAAATCGTTTTACAGCTCTGAGGAACTTTAAATAGCATTAGTTCTAACCTCCTAATTTTACAAATAAATCAAAACCTAGAAATTGTTAGCTTATAACAGTATAAGGATATATGCTCAGTTTTATATTTCATAGTAGTTGCATAACTAATTTTTATTTTTTAGTAGTTGTATGACTAATAATCATTTAATTGAAGTTGAATTTGCTAATTTTTTAAAATGTAGAACAAAGAGAATGGTGTTTGGTTGGCCTAAAGATATATTCAATAGAATGTTTTTATTTTTAGGCAGCTATTATGTTTCTTTTTTGAGGTATACTAGAAACACAAGTCGTATACAAGATGGTAACATTACCACATCTTTCAGCTGGAAACATTGCCCAAGGAAGATCTCATCAAGTTTGCCAAGAAGCAGATGATGCTAATACAGAAAGCTAAATCAAGGTGTACAGGTATTGGGTTGAAAATGCTCGTCTTGATCAGTCTCATTTAATCACAGTTAAAAATGGTAATTTAAAAAAATATGAAAATCTGTTATTAACATTAGAACTGTATATGACTGAGGTTTTAATTATCCTACATCTCTAAACAGCAATTATCTTTGGGTAATTAAAATTAAAGTCAAAGAGGAGGATTTTAAACATTTTTAAAATATTTTTCTAGATTCTTCTGAGTAAAATGTTTTTTTTTTAGAGGAGACAGTTGAAGTGTTAGAAACACAAGGTTGTGAGCCCAGAGAGGGAGGGGGAAAAAGAGAGTTGTCAAGTAAAGTAATAAGAATTTTCCATTCATGGTTATTTGAAGTATATTTATCTGATAAGATTGATTGATTCCCTGTTCAGTTTCCTTTCCTTTTCATTCAAAAAGGAAAAAGATGTTAGTATCCTTTTTAGTAAACATGCAAGAGCTCTTGAATTTCTATGATTTAGAAAATGTTAACTGTTTAACCTAAGAGCCAAGACTTATTTTCTACTAAAAAAGTACAAATGATGTTTTGAGAGGTTGGGTCACCTTGCAATAAAGAGAATAATTTATTTGGAAAGATGTTCTAGGTTCAAGATGTAGTCGTATTTGATGAAATATTTAAATTAACATTTATGCTTAGGAGTTAGTGGTTGCTCTAAAATTATACAGTATGAAGTATTTATAGCTGAAATATGATGTCTGGGATATGCTTCAGAATTATCAGGATAGGTAAGAAAAGCAGAGAAGAAGAAACCAAATACAGGCTGGGAGAAAACAAAATTGGCCATGTAATAATGCCAAAGCATAGTGATGAGTACATAGAGATTAATCATACTATTCTCTCTACTTTTCTATTTGCTTGAAGTTTTCCATAATAAAAAGGAAGAGAAAAGGTAATACTATTCTGTGGATGAAGTTAATATTTCCTCAAAGTATCTGCTTCTTAAATATATTCTAATTTGTAGGTTTGGGTGGGTTTTTCTGTTTGGTTTGGGGTTTTTTTAGAATGTACTAATCACTTTTTCAGTAATTATTTTCTTCGTTTCTGAACTGAACTCATTTATAATTGTTTAGAATTAGAGAAAGAAATTGAAGAATTTAAATCAAAACCTGTTGCTGGAGGAACTGATGATATTATTAAGGTAATGAAACAGTTGTGATTTTTTTTTTAATTTTTATTTATTTACTTAGAGGAAATGTCTAATGATGAAGCAGAATTTCCTTGAAAATTGCCAGCCTGCCAGAGGCTAACTGGCTTTCTGTTTCTGTTCTACTTCTTGCTTTCTGGTCCTGGTTATTTTTTGCCTCCTTGATTCATAGTAAAAACAGAGTGTTTGTGATCTCTCGGTTTCTTTCTTTTCTGAAATGATTATTATTCTCTTCTTCTCACATACTCTCTACTTATGGTTGTTTTCTGTCATATTCTTCCCCACCCTCCTCAGAGAAACTGGCCAGGCTTAGCACTTTAGTGATTTATAAGTATACTATGTATACGACTACTGACTTAGATCTCACTTGTATGTCTAACTGCCTGGGGAAAAAAATTCCTCATGCATTTCACCTATCATCTTCTCAGACTCAATATGACCATAATATCTACCCTGTCCAACAGCAGTGGCAATGCTGTTTTTCCTGCCTTTTGACATTAGAGTCACTTTAACTTTCCTTTCCTTTTCCTTTAACTTTCCTTTCTGTTATCCTCTACATATGTTAGCACTAGAAACCTATTTGCTTCAAGATATGCCTGCAGTTTATCTTTTTCTCTTGATTGTGTGACTATATGTTACGCATATTGTGTCTTACTTGATCTTAACCATCTAAATAGTAGTTTCTGTCTCTTTTAAGTCTTCAGAACCCTGCCAGATCACAAAATATCTTTTTTATTCCCTGTTTAAAAACACAAGTTGCTTATTCTTATTTCTATTCGCTTAATGCTCACTAAAATGCTTTTTCATTCCTCTCTTGCCTAAGCTTTTTAAAAGTTCCTTTTGCTTCTTAGCAGTGTTTTTCTCTGCTTTTACATGATATCCTTTGATCATATATTATTTTCTCATGAGGTGGCTCACAAGATGTGAGCAGTGACCATTGAAGGGCTGACTCTCAGAGAGTTGCTACAAAGGGTCTTTGAATCCATATGTATATTGCACACTATCATTTTGTTCTTTATTTTGTCAAAACAACATATGAAGCCTAAAAAATGTGCACTAGTGCCATTTCAATTCATAGTATATGGTTTCATTTATGTATTACTGGGTTCAGAGTTTTGTTGCTATATTTGGCTATTCTATGTTTTCTTTCTTTCTTTCTTTTTTTTTTTTTTTTTTTGAGAGTCTCACTTTGTTGCCCTGGGTAGAGTGCCATGGCGTCACAGTTCACAGCAACCTCAAACTCGTGGGCTCAAATGATTCTCTTCCCTCTACCTCCCAAGTGGCCGGGATTACAGGCGCCCACCACAAGGTCCTGCTATTTTTAGAGACAGGGTCTCACTGTTGCTCAGGCTGGTCTCAAACTCCTGAGCTCAACCAATCCACCAGGTTTGGCCTCCCAGAATTAGGATTACAGGCATGAGCCACCATGCCTAGCTCATTATATGTTTTCTTAATCGATGATAGCCAATATATATAACTATATGTTAGCTGAGGAAGGATACTGACTCCTACCTGAGTCAGGCCTTTAATTCCTTGCTCATCCACTAACCAGCTGTGTGACCTTGACTTAGTTTCTTAAGTTCTTTCTCTATGACTCAGTTTCTTCATCTGTATAATAGAGATAATACCTACTATTTATAGGGTTATCATATTAAATGAGTTAATACATGTACAGCACTTAGAACTGTGTCTGTCATGTAATTGCTCAGTGATTGTTAATTATCTCTTTATAATTATTATGTATTATTTCTAGGGGACATTTTTTATACACACACACACACATACACACACATATATACATACACATAAGCCCACACACTGAAGGGGGTCCTTTATATTTAAAAAAAAAACCCAGAGTCTCTTCTGACTTTTTTGGTCTATTAGGTTTAAACCCTTAAACTACTTTTTAGAATAAGGACATCTAAATAACTGCCTTGTTTTCTTCTTATTACCAATGCATTCTCATTGACACAGGGGCTCTGTCAAAACTACTCTTAAAGACAGGACTAGAAAATTTCTCCAAGCTAGCAAACTTTACCTTTCAGGGTTTGTGTTTTTGTTATTGTTGTTCTTTGTTTTGTTTTGTTTTGTTTTTAATATGCAGAGTGTCCCAAAAGTCACCAAAATTTTACAAAGTGTTCTTTATTTGTTGGCCACCTCTTTGTAAAATTTTACAAAGAAAATTTTGTAAATAAAGGTACATTTAGCTACAGTTTCCCATTTCCCTCTACATGGAGACTTTTGGGACATCCTGTGTTTGTATATATTTGGTGGGTACATGTGAAATTTACACATGTGTAGAATGTGTAATGATCATGTCAGGGTATTTAAGGTATCCATCACCCAAATCTTTTTTTTTTCCTTTTTTTTTTTTTTTTTTTTTGAGACAGAGTCTCACTCTGGTACTCTGGGTAGAGTGCCATGGCATCATCATAGCTCATAGCAACCTCGGTCTCTTGGGCTCAAGAGATCCTCATGCCTCAGCTTACCAAGTATCTGGGACTACAAGTACCTGCCATGATGCCCAGCTAGTTTTGTTTTGTTTTCTTTTAGAATTTTTTGTATAAATGGTCATATCATCTGCAAAAAAAAAAAAAAAAAAAATCATTTTTAATGCCTTGTGTCTTTTTTAAGCTTTATTTAACTGGCTAGGATTTTTAATACAATGTTGAATAGAAGTAGTGGTAGTGGACTAACATTTTATTTAGGATTTTTGCATCTAGATTTGTGGCAAAATAGGTCTTTGATTTTTCCTTTCTGTAAAGTACTTGGATATTGGTTTCAAGTTATGTTGATTCTATGTAATAACCAAGGAATTATTTTGATATTTTGTCTGGATGAATTTTATGAAATTGGGATAGTCTGTTCTGGAACATTTGATAGAACTCACCTTAAAATCATCTATCACTCCTCTTTGGTACACTCCTAGCTTTTTAACTCCGACGTTGATTTTTAAGTAGTTTAATAGTTTTGTTTAGCTTTAATTTTTTGGATCAGTAAAGGTATATTTTTCTAGAAATTTGTACCTAATTTACTTCAGTTTTCATCATTAATGAATAATTGTTCTTAGTATTCTCTTTAACTTTTTAATCTGTGATTTATATAGATTATATTTTCCTTTTTAGTTATATTGTTTGGGATTTCTGTCTTTTGATCCGTTTTACTAGAGCATATCTATTTTGTTAGCTTTTTTCAAAGAATTGACTTTTGGCTTTTCAGTCTTTTCTAGCTCATTAACTTCTTCTATTTAATTTCAGTAGAGAATAAATGTGTCTGTACATAGATTATTCCCTGCCTGTTCTTCAGATTGTTGAACAATCTCTAGTTTTTGAACCCCACACATTATGCCATGTTACACCTCCCTTAACAAAATTTAATATTTATTTAATAAATCATTGCCTAGTGCCTCCACTTCCCAACCATTTCGTTTCTGAAGAGTATTTGCCAACTTCTGATACATGTTTTTCTGTGTAGACCCTTAGGGTATAGCTTTATTCCTCTTTCTGATTCCTTCTCCTTCACTTTTCATTTTCTAAAACTATGTTGAAATTTCTCCTGTTTTCATACCTTTTTTTTCCTCTTTTATTTCTTCTTATGTTTATACTTTTTAAAATCTTTCATTCTCACTTTAGCATGGTTTGAAAAAGGTCAGGTGATAATTACGCATTTGGCTAATCCACCATTATTTTTAACCTCAGTCAAGTAAATCATCCTATTCCAAAACAGGCATTGACTGAACGTCTAGATGCTATTCTTCTGGAAAAAGCAGAGACTGAGCAACAGTGTCTTTCTTTGAAGAAGGAAAATATTAAAATGAAGCAAGAAGTTGAAGTAAGGCAACATTTTAATGTCCATTCCTTTTTTACTAACTTTTATAGTGTAGTTATGAATTTTAGAGCTAAGAAAGAATTTAAAAAGCATCTCGTCAAAGAAACAGAGATTAAGAATTGAAAAGAAAAACAACAAGCAATTATACAGAGATAGAGCAAACATTTACTTGTTGCACATTGTTAATATTCCTTATAGCTATAGTGTCATTCTTTAATAAAAATGGGGCTCGGCACCTATAGCTCAAGTGGCTAAGGTGCCAGCCACATAAACCAGAGCTGGTGGATTCAAATCCAGCCCGGGCCTGCCAAACAACAATGACAACTACAACCAAAAAAAGAATAGCCAGGCATTGTGGCAAGTGCCTGTAGTCCCAGCTACTTGGGAGGCTGAGGCAAGAGAATCGCTTAAGCCCAGGAGTTGGAGGTTTCTGTGAGCTGTGATGCCACAGCACTCTACCCAAGATGACAGATTGAGGCTCTGTCTCAAAAAAAAAAAAAAAAAAGAAATGGAAAAAGCAAATTAATTTTCACATTTGACTCTAAATACCATTATTCTATATTTAGGTCTAGGATATTCAGAGGCATATTTCTGTTTTCTTGCCTATTAGATCTGGGCTAATTTGAGTAATAGATTTAGTATGGCTGATAAATATTGTCACACTTAAGGTAGACAGAGCCTAACCAGAATTTTTGGAATCTAGGTACATTTCTGCTCATTTAATTTATACTCTAGTGAGCCTGTGGCTAATATTTTTCCTGAGGGCAGGGGTTTCTTTTGACTTACCTAAGGAATTTATGTGTGCTTATTTTTATTATAGGCTTCTGTAACTAAGATGGAAGATATGCACCAGGAATTTGAACAATCTCATAGAAAATATGTGAAAGAAATTGAAAATTTGAAAAATGAATTGATGGCAATACATTCCAAACACAGTGAAGATAAAGCTAACTTACAAAAGGAACTGGAAGAAGCAATGAATAAACAACTTGAGCTTTCAGAACAACTTAAATTTCAGAGTAGCTCTGAAGATAATGTTAAAAAACTACAAGAAGAGATTGAGAAAATTAAGCCAGCCTTTGAAGATGAAATTTTATATCTGCAGAAGCAATTAGAAGCTACTACTGATGAGAAGAAGCAAACAATTACAGATCTCCAAAAAGTCATTGAGGCTAATTCTCAACATTATCAGAAAGATATTAATAATTTGCAGGAAGAGCTTTTGCAGTTGAAAGCTACACACCAAGAAGAAGTAAAAGAATTGGTGTGCCAAATCGAAACATCAGCTAAGGAACACGAAGCAGAAATAAATAAATTAAACCAGATAAAAGAGAATTTAGTAAAACAATGTGAGGCAAATGAGAAGAACATTCAGGAGAAATACGAACGTGAATTAGAAAACTTAAGGAAAGCCACCTTAAATGCAAACCAAGACAATCAGATGTGTTCTGTCCTCTCACAAGAAAATGCTTTTGTAAGTGAAAAAGTCAAACATTTAGAAGATGCCTTAAAGGAACTGGAATCTCAACATAGTATCTTAAAAGATGAGGTAACTTATATGAATAATCTTAAATTAAAACTTGAAATGGATGCTCAGCATGTAAAGGATGAGTTTTTTCATGAACGGGAAGACCTAGAATTTAAAATTAATGAACTATTACTAGCTAAGGAAGAACAGAGCTGTGTAATTCAAAAATTAAAATCTGAGCTACAGGATTTAAATGAACAATTTAGTCGTACTATAGAACAACATAACAAAGAAGTACAGAATCTTAAGGAACAACAACAAAAAGAAATGTCAGAACTAACTGAGACATTCTTATCTGATTCAGAAAAAGAAAAATTAACACTGATGTTCGAAATCCAGGGTCTTAAAGAACAATGTGAAAACCTACAGCAAGAAAAGCAAGAAGCAATCTTAAATTATGAAAGTTTGCGGGAGATTATGGAAATTTTACAGACAGAACTGGGGGAATCTGCTGGGAAAATAAGTCAAGAGTTTGAATCAATGAAGCAGCAGCAAGCCTCTGATGTTCATGAACTTCAGCAGAAGCTCAGAATTGCTTTTACTGAAAAAGATGCTCTTCTTGAAACTATAAATCATCTTCAGAGAGAAAATCAAAAGTTATTGTCTCAACAGGAATCAGTACCAGAATTTGAAGATACCATAAAGAATCTTCAAGAAAAGAATGAAGTATGTTTACTTAGCCTCAGTCAGAGAGATACCATGTTACAGGAATTAGAAGCAAAGATAAGTTCTCTTACTGAGGAAAAAGATGATTTCATAAATAAACTAAAAAATTCTCATGAAGAAATGGATAATCTTCATAAAAAATGTGAAGGAGAAGAAAGATTGATTATAGAATTTAAGGAGAAAGTGAAGCAAACTACCAAGTACAACAGTGAACTAGAACAAAAAGTAAATGAATTAATGGGAGAATTAGAAAAGACTTTAAAAGAAAAGGATCAAAATGACCAAAAACTAGAAAAACTTGTGATTCAAATGCAAACTCTATCTGAAGACAAGGAAGCATTGTCATCTGAAGTGAAGTCTCTTTATGAGGAAAATAATAGACTAAGTTCAGAGAAGAACCAATTGAGTAAGGATTTGGAAGTTCTTCTGTCTCAGAAAGAAGAAAAGGCTATCCTTAAAGAACATATTACTGAATTAGAAAAGAAACTTCAGTTAACTGTTGAAGAGCAAGATAATTTAAAAAAACTGTCTGAAAATGAGCAAGTTCAGAAGTCATTTGTCAAAACTCAGTTGTATGGTTTTCTTAAACAAATGGGGTCACAAGTTTCAGAAGAAACTGAAGAACAAGATGTTGAAAATGTCCTGCATGCAGTAGGTGAATCCTTAGCAAAAATAAATGAGGAAAAACACAACTTAGTGTTTCAGCATGACAAAAGGGTATTTGAGTTAGAAAAAGAGATGAAGTGCCTTCAAGAAGAGAGTGTAGTTCAGTGTGAAGAACTTAGGTCTTTGCTACGAGACTATGACCAAGAAAAAGTTCTCTTAAGGAAAGAGTTAGAAGAAATCCAGTCAGAAAAAGAGGCCCTACAACTTGACCTTCTAGAAATGAAGAATGCTAATGACAAAATAAGGCTTGAAAATCAGAATCTTTTAGTTCAAGTTGAAGAAGCATCTCAAACATTATATAACAAAAATGAAATCCATAACGAAAAAGAAGAATGTTTTATAAAGGAACATGAAAACCTAAGGCCAGTACTCGAACAAAAAGAATCTGAATTGCAAGATTTGAGAGCAGAGCTGATTCTTTTAAAGGTACTATTAATTTAAACTATGTTCATTCAAATAAAGTCTTAGTTCTAGTCATAGACTAGAATATACATATATATATGTATATATAAAAACATTTTTGCACTTTGGTGTCAGTAAATTTTTAGTGTTTAAGCTTGAATGATAAACTTCTGAAAAGTGCATTAAACATTTTCATGTTGTATATCCTATTTATACATTGATCTTTTTTTTGGTTTTAGGTCATTTTAACATCTTGAATTTACATAAGATTAAATTATTCAGGATTTAAATGTCTTAGTCAAACGTATATTTGTCACTAGCAAAATTACTTAAACATGAAAAAGCTCAAGTTTCAATTCTTGTGCAATATACGCAATACTTGAAGAGAACAAAAAAGTGGGTTATAGCGGTATTTTACTTTGGCTAAAATTTTAGTATTTCTCAGTCATGTTTGTAGCTATGATAAAGTATGATCTTTTAACCTTTTGTTTATTACATATGTGTTTGATGTATATCAGGTTCATCATGGCTTTGGGTACTACTGTTTTTTATAGTAAATGCTGTATGTTTGGTAAGGTCAGCATTACCTGGTCTATTAAGAGAAGGAAAAAACTGTTGACCAAATTACTTTTTTTACTATTGAAGAAATTCTCTTGAATAGTGATTTTCTCATGCTTAGCATGACAGCTAATTCCTCGTGGGAAATGAAATGAATTCTGTTTTTGGTCTTTGTTTTGTGTTTTTTTCCTATAAAATTTAGGATTCCTTAGGGAAATCGCCTTCTGTAAAAAATGATCAACTCTCTTCAGTAAAAGAGCTGGAAGAAAAAATAGGTAACTATAGTTTTATATATGTTGTCACAATTAATTAGACAAATTCTTGTTTGTACCAGATTGGAAAGTATAGTAGCTAGTTAATGAGTTGTTAAAAATGCAAAAAGTGGGTGTCTTTTCCTTATGCCCCATCTTGCCCCTCTGCCATCTGTTTGTCTTCTCTTTTAAAACTGTTACTTTCCGGCTCAGCGCCTGTGGCTCAAGCGGCTAAGGCGCCAGCCACATACACCTAAGGTGGTGGGTTCTAATCCAATCCGCACCTCAGACTTCCTGGGAGCTCTAAAAA